AATGCTTCTAACCATGCTGCAGCCAAACACCGCCCTTGCATGCAGCTCTTTAAAGCAGCCATGCATTTTCCTGGGATCACATGGCAGATATAGAATGGTGCTACTTTCATTCTCTGAAGCACTTTTGCTAAGTATTTCCAAATCATGGCAGACATACTATCCATTCTATCCACAGCTACATTATTTTTCAAAAAACAGCAAGACTTAGTAAAAAAAAAAAAAATGCTGGGAACTGTAGCAAAAATAAGTGAAATATTGAATGGGGATCTACAGTTATGACTGGTGAAGTTTAGGAGAAAGAAACTGGGACAGAAGACATACAGGTGAGAGTAGAAAAAGTATCAATAAGAGGCACTTAGCACACTGAGTTATTTTAAGAGTGTCCAGTTAATAGTATCTTGGGGTGGTCCTGCTGCAATCTGTAACTGTGAGGTATTCAAGAGGGCCTAATCTGAAACACTTTCAGATTAGACCCTCTGACATTCCATCTTGACAGATATTTAATTAAACAAGAAACTGGGTTGAAAATTATATGAAACAATACTCAGTTAGCAAAACAAAAGATTAACAATTTTGGAATTCACCTGATGGACAGCCCAAAGTGTTAAACCATCAATCATATATGAATATCTGCAAAAAAATAATTAGGAAACTAGAGCTCAAGTTAAGGGAAATGAGATTCCTGGAATAGGTTAACCAAACTGAGCAGTGCAAGAGAAAAAGACTACATTTCCTTGTGCTAACAATAGGACAGAAGGTAAGAATTCTGTTACAGATGGCAATCTGTCAGTTTTACTAGGTAGACCCAACAGGAAACATAATGAGATAAGCTAATTCTACTTTATTTTAAAGCTACATTAACAGAGTCTTGCAAGTCTGAAAGTACAATTCTCCTGCCATCTATTTTACAGCCTGAGAAACTAGGGAGGATCTCTTCTCAGCCTCTTGCCCCACCCCTCTATCCAGCTGCGGCCTATACAGTCTCTTATCTGACTATTCCTTAGGTAGCGTCTCTTGGCCCTCTCTCCCAGGGTCTTTTCCACATACTGCACCATTACACAATCTGAATGAAAAACACAACTGAAACTTGGAAGAAATTAAAAAATGAAGGGTTAAATGCCTATGTTGTAAAATAAGAAAGCAATATATTAGATCAATATATCCAATGTCAAATAAGAGAAGGAGGTTGTAGCAAAAGCTAAAACATATAAGCATGCAAGAAAGAATGTGACCTGTGGCTATCAGCTTGTAGGATCTATTGAAAGGGTTCAAGTATTCAAGGAGGAGCAATAAATCATACTATTAAAAAACAAACCATCTTTTAATTTGTGTTAATTTTGAAGGATATTGTTTTATCTTATTGATAAAATATCAGAGTCAGTAGACATCCAATTACAGAATTGGAAAGAAGTACAATAATTAATTAGTCAGGGTAGAAATTGGCCTGCAAAGAGCTAGCTGCATGAGCAATGAAGGGAACGAAGGTTCTTTTTCTGGGGGAATGATGCTTGCACAAAACCTATCCTGCCTATTTAAAAATGTAGCAGAAAGATAATGAATGGGAAAAAAATGAAAAATGAGAGAGAGACACCATGTTTGTCATGGAGGAAGATAAGAGTCAAAATGATAGTGAGATCTGGAAACATGAAATTTTAAAAGGAGACAGACAAGAGATGTTTGCTTAATGTTAACTCCCCATAAGGGAGGAGCGTGTAATTTCCATATTCTCCAAGAGCTGCACCACACTTTATGCAGCATGTTGAGAGCTATACTCCTAATGTATGTGGAGCCAAGATCCATTTTGGGCATTCAGAGTTTTCAAAGGGTGAAATGGGTACCTTAAACCTTACAGAATTTGGAACTAGTTTGCCCCCTGAAACTGCAAAACTGGACAAAAAAATGCAATAAATAATAATTAAAAAAAGAACCAATACTTTTGGCTCCTCTTTTTGCACTTTAGCCTTAAGGAAACGTGCAGATCTTATGTTGATATATTAATCTAAGAGGGAAGAGTGAAAAGCAACAACTGGTTGGGGCATTGGTCATTGTAGACAGCTATCTCTATCACTTTAGCCTATGGTGAAACACAAAGGTATATAAGCCCACAAACATCATGCAGCTTATTTGAGGAGCCTGGCTAGGAAACTGGAATTGTGTAGAATAACATAAGTGAGGAGATACAAACCTATAATGCAATAGAAATTATTTGAATTTATTAATAATCCTGAAAAGTCACCAGTGGTAACATTTATGGTGACAGTCCATCCAAGCTTACAATTACCATTACATATCCAATTGAACCAGTAGAAATCCAGGTGAGAAAAGAGGTACCAATTCATTTGTGACCATATATCAACTGGGAGACAGCTGTTCTATAAAACAGCAACAATATCTCCCCTTTGAAAATTTGGAGTTCATTTATAAAGAATAGAATTTTCAAAGGCATGAATGTTATGAAAAACAAAATGGAACCCAAGCAATATGTTCAAAGGAATTTACAAAACAGGTATGATATATGGGAATAATATATGTGTATACTCTATCCCTTGCTTCAGATCTATTATTTACCACTGTTTCTCATTTTACCCCAACTAAAAAACTTTGCAATCTTATCTAAAACCGAAGGATGCGATTTGGAGTATCATGTACCTGAATGGATTAAGACCTAGAACAGAAATTATAGCTATTCTAAAACACTGAATGCAACTAAGTTACTAAGGAAATGTGTATGCCATCCAGAGTGTGCCACAGCTGACATATATTAAAAATAGTAAAACCATCATCAGCATCGGGCAACAAAATAATCAACCAATTATAGACATTTATAAGCATATCAAAGGAGAAGAACAACATAGCTAGAGTGAAACAAATGTGAATTATGTCTTTTTCCTCATGCAGTCACTGGTGCTTTGTATGGCTGGCTGGGAAGTATCCCAAGCAACAAGAAGAGAGGAGGCAGCAGCATTTAAGTTGATATTTTAAACAAAAGAAGTTGCTTTATGCCCAAATATACCATGAATCCTGTAGCTGAGCGTTGTCTACACTGGCAGACTACAGTTCTCCAAAGGATCAGCCAGGAATCTCTTCCAGCCTCTCTACAGATTCCAGCAAGATAATCCAACACTTTTGGCATGTACATTATATGCATTAATACTAGGTCCCCCCTGGTTATAATTAGCCCCTCATTTAGGTAAAATTCTTGCAGTTGGATGGTCTTGAAGGCCTATGTAATTTGCTTTTGCACGCACACAAAGCTTTGAAATGTCCTCAACTCTAGTCTGGGCAAATATGAGGGGTGTCAGGAGGGAGAATAGGGTTAGTTATTTAAAAACCTATCAGCTTTTGAAGCATTATTATTGATGGAAAAAAGAAAACCTATTGAGCTATGTTTAAAAAGATAGTAAGACCTTGTTTAAAAAAACACAGATGTTAACAGGGATGATATTGCTTTTAACTACATAAGATGGCAAAACCAGCTGTTATTTTATCAGAATTCTCTAGTCAATGCTACATGCACTGAAGGTGTAGCTGTACTGACATATTAATGGAAAAGGCAACCCGGCACTCCAGGAATAAAGTTATAAATTGCAGGATGTGATTTCTTCCTTTTTTAAAAATTGCCTATGTCTACTTAAACAAAGAATTTTAAAAGGCACATTTTTTTGCACAGTGTATACATAGAGAATATAATTTTAACCATCTCTAATTCTGTCCTTTTCCAAAAACTCCAAAACAAAAACAAAAGAAACCCAGCAGATTACAGGGGACAGCACAGTTTTAGACAATCATTTAAACAATATAATTTAGAGAAACACAAAGCTAAATTATGATAATTAAAATACCATTTAAAATACTTCAAAACAATCTGCCACTGTTGTAAAAAAAGAGAGATTCTATCACAAGGGTGAATAAAATATCTGCTTTGATACATTACTGCATTTAACATCTCAAGAAATTACTTCATCTGTACTGCAAAGTAACTTTACATGTAAACTTCAGATTCTCAATCTATGCACAGACTCAAGAGCATCCCTGTTCTCCTATTAATGTAAACAATAAAATATAGGGCTTAAAAAAGAATATTTTAATAAAATATTTTAAAAACAGCACATGTAAGCATTCAATGTCTTCTTTTGATCTCTTACAGGTGAGCAAACCTTCCTACATCTTTGTTCATGTGGGAAAAAAATGCTATTATTGCCCCCAACAATTCATTTTTCTAAAAAGCATATCTGATTTTCTTTATACTATACTCAGTTTCTATATGATAAACATACAATGTAAAATCTTCATGTTACAAGACAATTAAACAGTCTATATTCCACCCACCCTGATCCTCAAAATGGGTTTTCCCCTGGCAAAGAACAAACAGAATGATTATGGCATTAGAACTTGATAAAACAAGAGCCAAACTTCTGAATTGCTGGAAGACTATTTCCTGTTGCAATGGGCTTACTTAGTAACATTTTTTAAAAAGTGCCAAGAGGAAAAGCTTCCAGCAGATGGGGATTATTCTTAAGGAACACAAACATGCAGGGTTGTTAAGTGTAACCGTTCACAATAATTACCACCAATACTATCTTGCATCTTTCAGTTCAATCATAAACTGATCCACAGTTTACAGCTTTGATTCCAATATTGTAGGTCTCAACATGCACATAGTCTTTTCGTCCCTCCCCCACAATTTCTTTTTCCATTCATTCCACCTCAGCTAGGATCCACCGAGTTGGTGTTGTTGCAATGCACACTGAGTAGGAGCTGATCTATTTTAGTTGTTATTAGTTAATTTATATTCATTTTTGCACACTCATACTCACATACACTCACACACACGCATACATGTCAGAAATAGCTAAAACTATGCTGGGCACAATCAGGCAGCTGTAAAAGCGAGTATTTCACC